ATAAAGGGCCTTTCTGGGGTACGGGAAACTACAATTCAAACAGTTTAGATGAAACAAACAGGTGAAAACATCATGAGGATTCTTCTACATTACATTTCTACCAATAGATCCTTTCACCTGAATCTTACACACTGGACCTTTAACCAGGAGAAGACTACAACTCCCATCATCCCGCAGGGCTTCACCATGTCTGTTCTACGACTGTAAATAAAGACGATCTTGCTTCTCCTCCAGAAAAGAAGCTAAAACATCTTAGATACAAACGCTGCCATCTTGTGGTGATGACATCATTTGCAGTCAGCCACCAGGGGGCGTTCATGAGGATTTGAACCTGGTCAGCAGCTGTGATCATGTAAATCAGGTCTATGTGATGTTGTGATTATTCGTAATTGATCAGTGTGTCTGTTTGTATTAATTTGTGTCTTCAGACTTCAGTGCAGCTCCTGGTTCAGGAAACTTTCCCTCCGACGAGACAACAGGGACACACAGAATGGAGTAAAGCTGCAGTGATCATTTTTGTCCAACAGGGGGCAGAAAACCACCAGAACACACCCAGTCCACACGCACACACAAACAAACTAGTTCATCCACTTATCACATATCAGCCTCCTGGTTGAATATGGAACTGTCAATCAGGGAAACGTCCAGTTGGAACCGAGTCACATGGACGAGCTGTTGGTGAGAGGATGAAACTCGTGACGTCAGTTCAAGATCTATTGAAGACAAGTGAGGGGTGGTGGATTGTTTCCCTGCCTACTACAAGTACTGCTACAACTGCTACTACTAGCACTATTACTGCCAGTACTATTACTAATACTACTGGATTACAAACATTCAGACACATCCACACAGTTACTACTGGCAACATGAGAATCCATGACACAAAATCTGTCGGGAGGAATTTTCTAGTTATCGTTATTATTAATAATAATACAATCATTCAAGTGATATTTGTTTATGTGTATTATTTCATTTTATCTGCAGCATTTTCTGTTAATAGAGTAGAAAAGAGAGAGTTAGGAAAAGAGAGTCAGGTGCAATGCATGATGGGAGTTCCTTCAGCGGTTCAGGTCTGTAGCCAGAAGGCCCTGAGAGAGAACTTCATAGCAGCTACGCAGACACACCCAGACAGCTGTAGAAACTGGTAGCCATAGTAACGCCAACGAGAATCTGCTGTAGGAGTCTCCTCATCATCTGGAGACTCCTGCAGAGGCTCAACATCAGGAGTTTCATGTAGAACCTCATCATCTGGAGTCTCCTGCAGAAGATTATCTACCAGGATTTGTCCTCCTGTCTCAGCTGCTCCTTCAGATCCCTCACCGATTCGTTCTGATCCTCTGTGAGCAGACGATAACTCTCGTTCAGCAGCTGATAGCAGG